GGGTGGGAGGGTTAATGATAAAAGTAATATGGTTCAAAGTCATGATCCGCAACACCACAAGTGTGCGCGCTATATGGCGAACGGCTCATTAGTGCCGCATAAAAGCAGGCGGCGGAACTGTCAATGGGTCTGAAAACAAAGCTTTCCAGACCACCGGTCGACAAATCAACAAAAAAGACCCCCCCCACAGTTGGCTGCCGTGTGACGTAGCGGAATCGCAAAGCTAATTACCCTAACAGGCCATGAACAATGCCAGACAAGCCGTTTGTTTGGCCGCCCAAAACACGCCGCTGCCATTATCGGGGCAGCGCAGCTCTCCATTTCCTGAGAAACGCGAGCTCCCCGATGGCTGGGAATGGATGACCGCTCAAAAGTTTGGGTTTCCAAACTCCAAAATGGCCAAAAGTCACAAGAATATATTCGCTATGCAACGCCGAGGATAAAGAATCCATGCCGGTGAGTGGCATGATATTACCATCGCCACTGCTACGTTGATGTTGCTGGTAAGCTTGCGCGTGGAGTTTCCCTATTATGGGTTAGCGTGAAGCTAGCGGACTATACGGCAAAAAAAAAAAAAAAAATGCAGTGTGGTTCTTCACCTGCTCTAAGTGTGGAGTGCCTCGAGATATTTTCTGTTGTGAATTGGCTCCGCAGAACTGAAATTGCCTTGACACGTCTAATTAATCTGACCTCAAGCGACAAAGACGCTCATTGTCGCTTGCGCCCGCAAAATACCGCTCGAATCATCTCTCCCGACCTTTCGCCACCGAGCTGTGAAAGTAACAAACGGTCGCCATTCATTCCCACAATCGTCCCGACCCGACGCCTGCGCGAGGAGAGAGAGAGCGCGTCGTTAATCAGCGTTTTGCAAGAAAACGCAATCGTGCTTTGGGACGGCAGTTAAATGAGCGGCGCCAAATCGTCGGGGGGGGGAGGGGCCACAGTTTCCAGGGATTGCATCAGGTGTGCGTGTTCCAACGCAGCCTTCCACCCGCTCGCTTGCCGCGACCGGTCGCGCCTCGTCGCGTCCGCTCAACTAGACGGGGGGGGGGCACGACGGCCAAACATTCCCCCCTTGTCGAATAATTCAGTCGTCGGAAGATTCAACGCATCTTTGTGAACCACAGAAAGAAACCAGCATCAAAAAGGCGGCGAGGGCTTAAAATAACGCGCTCATAATATTGACGATATTGTTGTCTCGCCGCGTTGCGTGATTTCCCCGTTTCTTTCCCGCGCACGGTGAAGACGCGCAATAAGGAGACCCGAGAGCCGCATTCAGCACACACAAACAAACAATCTCATCTCTAACTGCCTCAGTCCATAATTCCTTTTTGTGTGTGTGTGTGTGTGTGTGTGTGTGTGTGATTAAATTTGTTAAAACGTGCTAGCGCCAGTATGCAGTCAATGCCAAGGGCAGCAAAATAAATAAATAAATAAATAAATAAAATACACGCCTAGTTCTGGAAAGAGTCGTCATGGTGACCAGCCACAAGGCTTCCAAAGTTTAATGAGATCTGAAATATTTCTCGATTTATTTATTTATTTTTTTTACATGCTTCATATAGACAAACGTAGTCATCCAACTTCAATTCTTCTTCTTCTTCAAAAAAAAAAGAGACTTCAGGCTGTAACTTGCATTTGAAGTTCATCGTCAAAGTAAACACACCACAATGAGTAATTGGATTTAAAACAGCTCTGCCTGAGGAAAGTTGGTGTAGCTTAACAAGATATAAAAAATGCCATAGGCAGGCTAGCGAATAGCATCAATGTCGCAGTGGTGTAACCCTTGAAGCAACGCATTTTCGTACAAATACTACACATATAGTCAGATAAAATCCAGGGGTGTATTCTTTATCCTCTGCCAAGAGTGACTATTTATTCCCGCAGGTTGCTCCGACGTGACCGTCTCTGTGTACACAATTTTTTTTTCTGCTTTAAAACATTTTATCGTTTCTTTTTTGGTTGGGAGTCTGGAACAGATTAACTGCATTTCCATTCATTTGAATGGGGAAAGACGATTTGAGACTCGCGCGTTTGCGGAGCATCGCCACGGAACGAATTTAAATTACCTTGGAGGGGAAAAAAAAAAATCCATTGTTTTGCTAGCGTCGCCCTGGATGCCGTTAGATTAGGTTTTGTTAGGTAAGCTCATTCGAGAATGCAGAGTCGCGGCGGCGGCGCCTTGATGGATGCCTTCACGGCCCAGCGTGCCAGGCGGCGTTTCCACTGCCGGCGCGCGTGATTGATGGCGTCGCGGTTGACAGGCTGACTAATGATTGGAACCAGCTCCTTAATTAAACATCAATTAGCTGTGCTAACTCAATTCACACCTTCTCCAGTTTGGCCCATGAAAGATGCTGCCCCCAGCCCCCTCCCTTTTTGTTAACCCCTTTCCAACAGAAAATATATATGCCAGCTTTTTGTTTATCGCGCCCACAAGGAATAAATACAGGGAGCGAGCGATCCTCCAAATAACACACACAATCATTTGGAATGGCCACGAAAACATTGACACTGATTAACTTTTCAGCAGACGCCAACGCGATGACAGGATGGAGAGCCGCGAGCCCGGCGCGAAAATCCCAGACCTCAACTTTGACAGCTTTTATCGTCGGGGTTACTCTCTATTCGCTTTTGCGGTCCAACGCCCGCACAGTGTTGTCTTTTGTTTTGTCTGTCTGGGAGGCTTACCTGCCAAGACAAAAATGAATAATCGATGGCAGCAGAACAGAAAACGAGGATCAGAGGCAGATTCGGCTCAGCGAGATTCAACGGACGACAGCATATCGATACGTGCCAATACCCGTATTTTGCGCACGATACGGCGCACCTAAAAGCATTCCATTTTCTCAGTCTATAAATAAAGCTGGATTGTATTGTATTCACTTTAACGTGGCTCCATCTAGTGGATGCATAGTGCAACTGCAGCCGCAACTGTCGCTTCTATTCTATGCGCCTCATAAAGCGGTTTTTAAATTGGCCATTCTTTGACGGTGCGCCTTATAGCGCGGAAAATACGGTAAATCAACATTTTTCTGTTGATGGATTGCGCGGAAAATCTCAATTTGCTTTCAGTCGCCAGGAGAATACGTTTACGTTGTACCCTAGCCCGGAGTTTCAATTCCTCAGAGGATAACGCTTGAATCGGAGAAATAAGCAGGGGGTGTCCGCAAGTCGGCAATTCGCTGCGCCACTTTCCCTGAATCATGCCACTCTGCTGACATAAGCATTTAATATGTCTTACATGACTTTGTTATTATGGGTATATATTACCGCCGATACCAAGAGCTCCAATAAAATATTCATGAGTCATTATTCATATGATGCCGCATCACAGTGTTCCCTTTTTCCTATGCGTGTCTTCCGTTCAAATTTATCCTCCGTCGGATCGCGGCGGGCTAACGGGAACGTCACGCTGAGGGGACGGCCTGTTGGATTGCCGGCGAGCCAACCCGCGCAAACGTGCTCGCGCCAGGGCAACAAAAAAAGACGAAGCGGGCAGAAAGGCAGCCTTGGGACATGTGGGAGGAGCAGGGCACATTACGATAAATACATTCTAATGATCGTTTCGGCATGAGGTCTCGCTTCGAGTCAACCGGCGTTTTGGCGAGATTAAAGCGATTCATTGCGTCTTGACCGCAGGGCTGAGGAAGCAACGACGACAAAAGGAAAGCAACACTCAAGACTCAGTACAGGTCAACCGAGTGGATAGAAAAAGTCGACACACCCCCTTCCTTGGGTTTTATTTGATTTGATTTTTTTTAATACCTTATCAGCGCCTCCGATTGACACCCACTTTAAAGTTTAGACGTTTTTCGTTTCTAGAACTGTTCATAATCCCCACTGGAGAAAAACGGCTCCAAATTAGCATTCCGATTTGGTTACGTCGGACACATTTTCTCAGTTTGGGAGATTTCAAATGTACTTTTTTTTTTTTTTTCCTCACTTTACGATAACAACAGAGTTGATTGTTGTCGCATGCACTAACCGGCCCGTTCTTGCCGGACATTTCTGCAGCCTGCTTCAAGATTGCTGTCAGCAGTGCTTTTCATCAATTTTGATGAGAGGTCGAGTTGTGCCATATTTTCTCTGCTTGTTGAATATCTTGGAAATTATTTCGGTACTCTTCCGGGTACACAGAGTACCGTATTTTTCGGACGATAAGCGGCACATAAAATCCTTTCATTCCTTCAAAAATGGAACGGAATGCGGCGCGCTGTACGCATGGATAAATGTCGGCTAACGCGAGCTGTTTTGTGTCAGCTGTTTTTGTCGTATTTGTTTTCTCTCCACCACGCTCATTAGCATATGCTGGCCATCGGGTGCGTCGCCGCCGCGGTGACCTTGAAGCAGAAGGGCCCGGTGTCGGCCGCAAACTTCCGCCGCTCGGAATTAATGGCCTCGGCTGTCGGACA